TACAGATAAAAGCAGTTTCGTTATAAATAAAGTTTTATAACCTCCAGTTCTCAAAAATTCCCGTTTTTACCCAACCGAGGTGACTGTGCACAGCTTCACCAACTGCCTTTTTTTCTGTTTTCCCACCCCCAAGTTTCATGCACTAGAGTAACACTCATGGCAAAATACACAAAACTAGAGCACTTCCATTGTTCAGGGCTCAGTCTCTTTGACTCAAGTCTACTGAGTCAAATGTACACCTGATAAATCCTTCAGTTCCTGCTACCGTCTCTCAAGACTTTTGAGTTCTACAGCAATATAAAGTGCTTGTTGCATTAGTGTGAGCTTTGGCCCTCAGAAATTACTTTCCCTCTTCAATCCTGGAGTGTTGTGAGGTTGGGTGTAGGTGGTTGTTCTTAACCTGACAGCTCATTCGAATCCTGTGAGACTGTCTGAAAAGCTCCCAACCCAGGCCTGACCATAAAATTTATGGTATACTTTTTATTACCTGTGTTTTGACACCTGAAGTTCCAGACTACTCCAGAAGATTCTAATTCAAACCCATGGCTTGCATCCTTGAGTTTGCTATTCTGAGGTTAAAAAACTTTATTTATAACATAACTGCTTTTATCCACCTTTTTTACACAAGTAAACACTTTTTATCCACCTTTTTTACTTGTAAAAAAGGTGGATAAAAAGTGTTACTTTCAAATTCAGGGCTTGGTACAGGTTATACCCACTGCCATATGTGTGTGAAAAAAGTATCAAGTATCTACCTAAGATAGATGTTAGTGTTATTGAGAAATCTTTCCTGTGTATAATCCATCAAAAATGCTCATTGAGTTCTTATTTAATCTTCACTGTGGTCTTGGGAAGAGAAATGAAGCCCCTGATTTATAGATAGAGTGATCGGATGTGATGTCATGTCTCAGGATGGCCACCCAAGTTACAGCTTCCTCTTACTGTTCCAATATTATTTCCCCCTGTATTTACTTCCATAAATAATTTTCCCAGGTAGGCAAGATTTTCACCATAAGCCAATAGGGCACAGGTAACACATGGAATGAGACCTGTCTGTAACTTCTGTCCTGTGCTCAGCCTGGTGGAGACTGCCTGGTTCAGAAAGAATGACTTTGTCCTCAGTTCTAGATTCCACTTGTGTGTCCCATTCCTCATTATCTAGCTTGGCAGTGTATGTTCAACTGCAGAACACAAGTGGTTATGGATACCACCTTCCCAGAGGTGATAGGAAGAGGAAAACACTTTCTTTTTTTTAATAAGACATACAGAATCTTCATGATCACATCCACTAATGACTTAAATAAGCACATACAGGGCAAATAGATAGAGTCCACAGTGGACGTTCAGATGATAAAGGACATTTTTTTCTACAATATTATGACCATTAGTAAAATTAGTAATCATCTAATATGAAATATATACTCAAATATTTCAAAAATTCCTTTCATATATTCCAGCTTTATACATCAAAAGTGATTTCAATTCTTTTTTAAATGTGTCATAGAATTTTCCTGTGAAAATATCTGAACCTCCAAAACACTTTTAAGCTGTTTTAAAGTTGCTAATTCAACTTCATTCATAGCTGAGAATTGTGTCTATCATTCAATTTATATGAAGAATATCATAGTAGGCTCTATTTCTGAAGAATTTTTGTTCACTTTGTCTAAACTGTCAAATTTTTGGGTGTAGAGGTGCTCATACTACCCACTTATTATCTTACTGATATCTGCAACGACTATGGTTAATAACTGCTGTTTCAATGTTAATAGTGTTTAATTTTTAAAATTTTATTTAAAGGAAAAAACAAAACAGAAAAAAGGGTAGAAATAATACATAATTTCAAAAAAAATAAACAGTTGGAAATCACGAGCTTATAAATTACATATTGTCCTCTTAGAAATAGTTGAATAGTGTTTTCTTCATCAATCTTGCCAGAGTATTTTCAATTTTAGTGCTCTTTTTGAAAGATCAATACTTTGTTTCAAAGGTTCGTTTCTCCTTTATTCTACTTGCTTTGGATGTATATAGCTTTTACTTTTGTAGTTTTTTGAAGTGTGAGGTTGAGATAATTGCAGACTTTCCTATTCCTCTGTCCACCAACATGAAAATGAAAGCCCAGCCCATGAAATATGTAGCATGGTGCACCTCAGATCCTCATCTGTAAAGTGGGACCACAGGAATTTCTTCTTTCCAAGATTGCACTGGGGATTAAATGATGCAACTGAAATAATTTTGTTTTTGTTGAAACTTCCATGACTTGGGTATTTTTGAACCATAGCTCCTTGAAGTTATGTTGCTTGAATTGTCCTTAACACCTCAGAATTCAACCAAAGGTATTTGAATGCTTTGAATCATCTGTCCCTATCCCTTTTTTCAGGGTCTTACCACCTCCCTCAGGGCCACACCCCAGAATAGCAGGCTCTTGAAGTTGAGAGTCCAATCTCTTCTTCATGTAAAAGACTACTGCTTTGGTAATTGAGTGTAGCATTCCAACCTTTCTTTTGGGTTCCTTCTGACTTCAGGAGAAAATCATCTATAGTACTATCAAGTCTTTTGGCTTTCACACTTAGCCTTTAATTTGCTTTAATCCCTCTTAGTTTTTAATTGTCTTTGCTCCAAAAAAGATCACCCAGTGCCAGAATGTTTTTAGCTGTTATTTCTCAAATCATTTCAAATAGCTGATACCAAGGAAATCTCCAGTGATTTATCATCCCAGTTCACTGCCAGTGAAAGATTTTGCAGTAATACCTTGTATCAGATACCTTTACAGAGCTGTGACAAAATACCTGATAAGAAAAATATAAAAGAGGAAAAGTTTATTTTGGTTTTCAGTTTCACAAGTTTCAGACCATGATTAACTGTCTTCATTACTCTTTGGCCTATGCCAACACAGAAACATCATGGTGGAAGGGTGCAACAGAGAAAACCTACTCAACTCATAGCAGCCAAGAAGCACAGAGAGGAAAGACTGAGAAAAGATACACAAGCACAAGCTAGAGTTCCAAGCTAGAGAACACAACCTTGGGACTTCTAACTAGGCCTGAATATCTACTATTTCCATCATTACTCAATTATGCCTCAAATAATGACTACATCAATGAGGAAATTGACTTAAAAAAATTAAAAGTTTCCAAAAGGGTGCGTTAATTTCCAAAGACATCAGCACATTATGTGGCAACAAATTCTTCCACATATTGAGACTTTTGGGAGTTGTTCTAGCTACCAGTCATATCACACCTTCACCTGAAGACACTGGATGCCCCAGTGCCATTTGCCACCAGAGCCAGAGTTCCCATCATTAGGAGACTAATGAGTGATTAGGTTCAAAGTTTATATTTTAGGGCCTGCTTTCCATATGTCTCTTCAAGATTAGTTTCTCCAAGAAGCACACTTTGAGTTGGATATAGAAGTGCAGAAACATTTTGGAAACCTATTAGAGTTCAGATGTATGAATGAGTGAAAGAAACAGTTGGACAAAGGGAACTGTTGACCTACACTTCAGGCACAACCAAGTCTCCACTGCTCCTGCAGAGACCAAGAGGACTGGAATTATTTTCAAAGTCATTTAAAATAGAAGTTAGGCATCTGGGCATTCATACTCATTCTTCTCAGTCTTCCACATGAGCTGCCCTGGAAAACGAGTGGATCCAGCAGTGCAGCTCTTCTATTCAGAGAAAATCCCAGAAGGTCACTGAGCTGAAAACTGACAGCCTCCAGTATTCTAACAGTCAAACCCGCTGAAGGCTCCACTTCTACTTATACACCTGGCAACATTATTTCATGTATGAAACATAATTCTATCTGTTTTGCTTACTTTTAAAAACCAAAATAACTTTTGTAAAAATACACATAATCCAAATAGTCACTCCCCGAGTTCTGGCTTTCCCTTTACAACAGAAATATTTCAAACACATCTACACTTAATTTGTGATAGATTACTTAAAGTTTGAGGCCCTTCCCAAGCATCAAACCCATTTCCATCACTCACCAGGATACTTTCTGTGAGCATTTCATTAGGTTAGCTTGTCCATTCCACATGTCAATTCCAGTTTGTTAATCAGTTTTCCTTTGCTGTATCAATATACCTGAGAAAATCAACCTACAATAAGAGATATTTATTCTGACTCATCATTTCAGATTGTTCAGTGCATTGTGGGGTGGCTCCAGTGTTTCTGGGCTTGTGGTGAAGTAGCAGATCATGAAAGAGAGTGTGTCAGGCCAATACAACTCACCTCATAGCGGCCAGAAGCAGAAGAAAGAAGGTTGGAAAAAATATTCACTTCAAGGTCTTGCAACCAGTGTCATACAGCTCTAATTAGGTCCCATCTCCTAAAGTTTCCATCATCCCCAAATAGTACCATCATCTGGGAACCAAGCCCTTAGCTCAGATGCTTCTGGGAATATTTCACATCCAAACTCACTTCCTAAGAACACAGGATTATTAAGGTCACCTCTAACATTAAACAAGGCTCTCTTACAACTACCTCATCATGAAATCATGCTCATCTTATGGGCATGACAGTGGTATGTATTCCTATGGCCCTTAAGTTCAAACTATCTTGGTTTAAAAAACATAATCTTGGAGTGTATACTAAATAAAAGCGATGAGCTTCTCTGTGTTTGGATTCCAATAACCTAATGGCCCAATTTAAATTCCCTAGGCCTCAATTTTCTCATCAGAATCGAAATAAAATTTCCTTACCACAGGATTGGGTGGATCAAGTATGTAAGCAGGTGCCACACTGGGGCACTGTGTTTATAGGCACACATTCTTCATTCTTTCACTGCAGCAGCACAACCTAGTGGTATGAGGCTGGGGTGACTGTGAATGAGACACCTCATTATCCTTTCTTAAATCTTAGGCAGAAGCCAGTACAGGTAACACATGATGCGGTTTCAAAGTTTCAGAGCTTTATGGGTTCAGATATCCTTATACAGTGCAGGTGAATGCTCCTAAGAATTAATTACTCTCTAATGGTTCCATTCTTTTTGACTTCTAGAAATGGAGCAGTCTTCTACTTTTACACTCCTCACAGTTCTGCTGCTCAGCACAAAGGTGCTACTGGCCATCATTGTCTCTGCTATCTACATCCTCCGGAAACTGAAGGCCTAACTGTAAGTTGAGGGGTGAAAGGGGAAGACAAAGACTCACAGAGAAAGGAAGGGTGATCCAGGGGCCCTGATTACCTGGCACACAGGATCAGGATCAAGGCAGTCTAGAGCAAATGGGCCTCAGCACCCCAGGGTTCTCAAAGACCCATCTGAGAAGTGCCAGCTCCTGGAAGTATGTAGGGTGTTGTAGGAAAAGGATAAGGGAAGGATGTGCAAAAGTGGGGGACAGAGTCTTAAAGACCCTGCTGTGTAAGTGGACTTGAGGAACACCAGAGTAAGTAGTTTCCTTGGAGGTCATCTCTGTATTAGTTAAACACTGCTCCAAGGCACAAGAACCACCCACAGTTTGAAGCAATATTGTGAAACTCCACACAGAGAGTCTACTCTGAAGGTTGTTCCCACTCTGACACTGGGTGACTCAGCAGAAAGAACAGAGAAGAGGTGTCAGAACTCAGTGTGGAGGCTGAGGTAGAAATTCTTTCTCAGGTGCTGCCTGTCAACTTACAACAGATGTCCCCGTGAGAAGACCAGCTCCAGTGTTATAACAGCAGGAGGAGGCCTTTCTTGAATGGAGAGCATATATCCCAAAGTGACAATTTTCCCCACCACCTCAACTTCTTCCCTCAACTTCTCTCCTGTGGAAGACCCTCAGTCTCTGCTGCTTTTTTCCTGTTGTGGGAGCACTGATATGGAAGAAAATGTGATAAGAAGCTATCATAGACTCTGTTACAAACATTTCTCCACCTCAGATACCTGTTGGCCCACAAATCCCTGGTGTTTCTTTACTCAGTCACTGATGCCCTCAGGATTGATCTGCACCTAAGATCCTGAACAGGAAGCATTGGAGCTGGCTGTGGGATCTAACAGATATTTCCCTGGAATATGTGCAGTAAGTCAATTGTGTTTCAGATATAGATCACATGTTGCCCTAAAATCACATATGAATATTATTCAAAGACAGTATTTTAGAAAGTGATTGAGTCATTAGGACATGATTTTTATGAGTGGATTAAATCATTAGTGAAATCATTGCTGAATGTGCTGTTAAAATGTGAAACCATTTCAGTGTTGGGTTACTAGAGGCATCACCTGATAGGGTATATATATATATATATATATATATATATATATATATATATATGTATATATTCCAGATTCTCCATCTTTCTTTGTTTTATGGACACTGGATTCTTTCACTATGATTTTTCTGTCTTACATTCAACCAACAGTGGACTAAACTGTGAGCCATTGTAAGCATTTATTGTTCTTTCCCAGGAACAGTAAATGTCTAATACAGAAAATTGACACCAGGGGTGGAGTTGTTACTGTGGGTATAACTAACCCCATTGTTTACAAGGCTTTGGAACTGATTTGCTGAGACAGTTTAGAAAATTGTGAAGATGCCAATTAGAAAAATCTTAGAATGTTGAAAGTCAGTTTTCATAGTGAATCTGGCTGGAACTCAGGATATGAGAATGCTGCCAGAAATATTAATGGTGAAGGGCTAGTTTAGGAGATTCCAGTTGGGGACCAGAACTCCACTGACAATTGGACTAGAAGCCACGTGGGTTACACTCTGGTGAAGACTGTGTGTTTGCTTTGCCTATCTTCAATCAGGAGGTTGAAATTAAGAGCAGTGCACTATTTATCTGATTGAAGAAGTTTCAATGGAGCCTAATATTTAGACTGTGGCAAGGATGATGCTGGCTGCTTTTAGCCAGATTTCCAAGGAAAAAGAGTAAAGAGCAAAGACGAAGGATTTAAAAAATTTGCATCTTGTCTAGGAAACAAATATGTGTAAATTTGGAGCCAAAGAAGGTATTAAAAGAAGCCAAGTATTTTGCATCCAGACAGTAAGAATAGATAGGTCCTCTTAAGGAATTTCAGGAAATGGCCAAATACCACTCATCATCATTTCAAGGGTATAAAAACTGGAATCTCCTTTGAAAGTCTTTGTTTTAATAAAAGATCATCATAGCGTTCTACTCATTTTCAGCAGCACAGAGAAGTATTTCCCCAAGTTCAATCATACAGTTTGGCCATTCAGTCACTCAGAGGTAATACAGCCACTGTCCCTGGTCTCCCAGCTATTACTTTAGCTGGCAGAAGACTTTTACACTGTCCACATGGTGTTATGTAGAGTGCAAGATTTGTGGAGTTCTGGAAGCTCCCATCAAGATTTCAGGAGAAATCCTGGAAGGCCAAAATAGTGCAGAAAGTTGTGAGAGTCAAACCTAAGTTGTAGTGGAAACCCAGGAAGTTGATGCCAGAAATGTGGAATGCTTGCTGAGATAAGTCACAGGCAGTGAGCAGAGCTTGCCTAAGAGAAAAGTCATGTGGGCTCAACCAGCAAGGCCAGAGAGTGCTAGACTTCCCAAGCCCTTTGGAACACATAGTTCACCACAACCTGACCTGGTTGTTCAACTCAGATCTGCAGTATTGAATGTTTTAGTTTTAGTTTGTACAGTGCCTTCCTATTTCACTATTTTTGTGTTTTAGAAAGAGAGCATTTACCTTGTTGCTTTATGTGTTGGGAATGTTAGACTTTCTTTTTGACTTTAATGGGAGTTCACAGATAAAGAGTGTGTTTCAGAGGAGACTTTGGAGTTGGGACTTTTTAGCAATGCTAGAACCACTAAAAATTTGGCAATTATGGGCCTGGGGTTTAGCTCAGTGGTGTAAGTGTCTGCTTACAGGCCAACAGGAGATCATGAGTTTGATCCCGGTACCAATAATAAATAAATAAATAAAATAAAAATTAATATAGAAAAAGAAAGAAGAAAAAATTGGCCAACTCTTAGGGAACAAATGTATTTTGTGTCATGAAATGGACATGAACATGATTGGGGATGAGGGACAGAATGTCATTGTTTATATCTAAAATATTCCCCACAATATCCATTGGAAGTCTCAGGTGTCCAGAAGTATAGCTTTCTGTATTTGGTTGGATCTTGAGGATACTACGCTTATCAGCAGATTAATCTGCTGATGTGTTCACAGTTGAATGTACTGGAGGTGTGGCCTTGTTGGAGGTGTGTCAAAGGAGGCATGTTCTAATAGGATGTATTCTTGTCTCTAGCTCCTCCCTTCTCTCTGTTTCCTGCCTGCCATGGAATAAGCAGCTTTCAATAACCATACCATTTTGCTATATCATTTCTGCCTTGAATCTAACCAACCATGGACTGAATCCTCTGAAATCATGAACCAAATAAGCTTCCTGTCCTTTACATTCCAAGTGTTGGGTATTGAGTTCCAGCAAAGGGAAAATAATTAATACATGAACCCATTAGGATAAGTTATGTCTATTGCTATGGAGGTGGTCATTTCATCAAGACACAACACGTTTCAGGAATTATTCAGTTTTCTGCATTACCATCCAACCCAGTTCCCCAGAACAATTGTGGTCTTCACTGTGGGGATGCTTATAGTTCTCTTTAGGGTAACCCAGGTCTTTGTCTTCAGCTTTGATTCCAGACTCCTTTGCAGATTGCTCAGCTTTGAAGTACGGATCCCCAACCCACCAGCAAAGCCTTTCTGGCTTCCAGCAATGAATGTTGGGCCTTCCCACTACAGCTCTTTGGTATGGACTTGCATGAGATGTGGCCATAGGCATTAGGCCTTTGGTTGGACTCATGCTGGACATTGTTGTGGGATCCATGGACTTGGCTGGATTCCTTAGGTTTTTTAGCCCACAATCTTGTACTCTTCTGTATTTAACTTTTTGGGTTAATATTGTAAAGTAATCTTATAAATTACATGTCTTCTATTAAACATATTCCCTTCTAAACTCTGACTACAGGATATATTTTGAAAATGAGTGTTGATTGAATCACTCCTATGTATCCTTTGAATATATCAGCATACTCACACTCTTTCATTCCTGTTTCTATTTAATGTCTTTTAAAAAAGATACTATATTCAAATTTTTAAATAAAATTAACTTAAAATTATCCTTAAATTATCCTTCTTGGCATGGTATCATTTCATCTCACTATCATGAGTAAATTTTTTCCATATCACTAATTGTCATCTGTGTTACATTTGGTCCAGGCAGTGGTTTTTCTTCATAACAGGAGAATCACTGCAGTACTGTAAAAATCAGTGTGAAAACTGAACCTGTTGGAAGCAGTCTCCAAAATCATTGACAAAAATCATGATTTTTTGCATGTCCTTACTTATTTCTTTGTCAAAAATTTCACTTTGTAGAATATAAAATTCTATTGTCAAGTTTGAAGTGATATTATCTGTCTTACTTCATCCAAATCATTTAATATATCTTGAACATAGAGACCATCGAATCTATTTGGGTGTGTATTGTTAGAGAGAAAAGTCACGAATCTCCATAAGATTTTCAACTTCAGTGAAGAAAATAAAATTTTGCTATCAAGTGATCACGAAAATCTGCACTTGAGTACCTTTGAATGTGGAGATGACCAGGTTTTTTTTCCCAACATGCTAAGTTTTAAATGACTTTTCAATATCTAAATGGAGATATTAAGTAAATATAAATCTGAAGTTTGTAGAATAGCTCTGGGTTAGAGTCAAAGGAGATTCTCCGCTGTGTCACATTCACTAACAGCATTCATGAGCATTTCTTTGAAAAATGTAACTAACTTGATTAGGTCCAACAAATGTGGGGCAAGCAGGAATATCCCTGAACAGAACTGGAGAGATGGGCTAAATATTCGCTGAATGATAAATCTGTATCTTCAGAAATAATCGCAATAAATTTCAAAATTACAAAATAAGATAAGCTGAATGCTTTGGTTAATTATTTTCAGGATTTTAAAGTAAAATATGGTATTCTCATTTTAAAAATATCAACTGTCATTATTAAACAATCTTATTGAATTACATGGTAGTTTTTCAAACCTCAAGCAGTTCTAAAAGTTGATTCATAGTGAGAAACATCAAGAGGATACATTCAAGATGGAGCAGAAAGAAATTTGAAACTACTCCCCAAGCGAAGACCATCTAAAGTTCTTGGCAAAAAATATATACAATAAACAAAAGAACCTGCTTTAGTTTGTTTAATCTAAACATAAATGAAGATATGGATAACGGCATGTATGTTTAAGTGTATAGGATTGAGAACCATGTTACTAAGTTTTTGTTGGACAGTTGAACAGAACTGTTTTCAGTCTCACTGTTTGAATTCCCACTTTACATATTCTACTCTTTTACTTTGAACAACTATTTGTAAAATGACAATATGTAAACATCAACCAGAGATTTATTACTGTTTATTTTTCTTTGAATGTTTGTATTATTTCTACCTGTTTTCTGTTTTGCTTAGTCTTTTTTAAAATAAAATTTTAAAAAACGGACGGAGAAATAGATACTTCCATGACAAAGAACCACTGAAGAACTTTATGATCACCAAGCCAATCCTACAAAGAATACTGAAAGACAGTTTAGATACACTTAGGAAAAAACTACTAAGCAAAGCAGACAATTAAATGGAACAGGAAGACAAAGATGCAACAGTAGAAAGATAATGTGTCTACAATAAACCAACACATAATAGTTATAACCATTAACGTAAATGGTCTCAATGCACCAATTAAAAGAAACAGACTGGCAGAATGGATCAAGCAACAAAATCCAACCATATGTTGTGTATAAGAAACCCATCTAACCCAAAAGGATACTCACAGACTTAAAGTCAAAGGATGGAAAACAATACTTCATGCAACAGGAACCCAAAGAAAAGTGGGGGTAGCTATTCTGTTTGCAGACAATGTGAACTTCAAACCAGGAATGATTAGAAGAGATAAAAAAGGTCATTACATACTCATTAGGGGAAAACTTCAAGAGAAAGAGATAATGATCTTAAACATATATGCACCAAATTCCAGAGCACCCAGTTATATAAAGCAAGTATTAATAGAAATGAAAAACCAAATTAACAACAACACAATTATAACAGGAGACCTTAACACATCACTGACACCAAGGGACTGATCAACCAGACAGAAAATGAGCAAAGAAATAACAGAACTAAATCACACAGGTGAACAAATGCACTTGATAGACGTATATAGAATGTTGTATCCAGCAACATGGTAACACACATTTTTTCTCACAGTACATGGAACATTTTCTAAAATAGACAATATACTAGTTCACAGAACATATTTAATGCAAAAGTTTTGAAATTATCCCATGCATGTTATCAGATCATAGCAACATGAAATTAGAAATTAATGATAAAAGATGCTGCAAAAATCCCACAAACACATGGAAATTGAATAACACACTCTTGAGTAATTAGGCGGTGACAGGGGAAATTAAAGAAGAAACTAAACAATACCTACAAGCAAATGAAAATACAAATACAACTTACTGGAATGCAATGAAAGCAGTCATCAGAGGAAAATTTATTGTACTAAGTTCCCACATCAGGAAAACAGAATGAATACAAATAAATAATCTGATACTACACCTCAAACATGTAGAAAAAGAAGAGCAAATCAAGCTGAAAGGCAAAACAAGAGAGGAATTTATAAAAATCAGAGAATAAATTAATGCAATAGAAACTAAGAAAACCATCCAAAGAATCAATGAATCAAAGAGATGGTTCTTTGAAAGGGTAAGCCCTTAGTCAAACTTTATTTTAAAAAGGGAAGAAAAAGCTCAAATTCATGCAATAAGGAATGAAAAAGGCAAAATCACTATAGACTTAGTTGAAATACAGAAGAACATCAAAACCTATTTTGAAAACCTCTGCTCTCATTGGTTTGACAATACAGAAGAAATAGATTCCTAGAAACATATGAATATCAAAGCTAGGTCAAGAAGGTGTAAAACTGCTGAATAACCCAATTTCTGTGAATGAAATTGAAAATGTAATTAAGTCCCTACCTACAAAGCAGAGCTCAGGGCCAGATGGATTCACTACAGAATTCTACAAGAAATAGAAAGAAGACTTAATGCCAACACTCCTAAAAGTCTTCAGTGAAATTGAAAGGGAAGCAATCAGTCATTCCTGGAAGCAAAAATTACGCTAGTACCAAAACCTGAGAAAGACCCAACTAAAAAAGAGAACTACAGACCAATCTTCCTAATGAACACAGATGCAAAAATCCTCAATAAAATATTAGTAAATAGGATGCAGCAAATTATCAAGAAGATTATACACCATGACCAAATGGGATTCATCCCAGGCATGCAGTAATGGTTCATCATACATAAATCAATAAATGTAATCCACAATATCAATAAAACCAAAAGTAAGAATCATATGATCATTTTTATAGATGCAGAAAAAGCTTTTGTTAAGGTTCAACATTCAATTATGATAAGAACCTTACAAAAAATTGGAATAGATGGTCTTTACCTCAATATAATAAAGGCCATCTATGACAAACCAACAGGTAGTATCATACCAAATAGCCCAAATCTCAAGGCCTTTACCTTAAAAACAGGCACAAGACAAGGATATCCCTTATCACCACTCCTATTTAGTACAATATGGGAAATACTAGCAAGAGCAATTAGATGAGAAAGAGAAATAAAAGTGGTAAAGACAGGAAAAGAAGAAGTTAAATTATCACTATTTGTGGATGATATGATACTCTACAAAGAACACCCCCAAAACTCCATTGAAAGACTCCTAGATATAATAAATAAATTCAGCAATGTAGCTGGATACAAAATCAGTACTCAAAAATCAATAGCATTCCTATACACTAACAACAAAATCACAGAGAGAGAAATAAGAGAAGCCACATCCTTCACACTAGCAACCAAAAATATGAAATATTTAGAAATTATTCTCACGAAAGAAGTGAAAGATCTATATAGGGAAAATTATAATACACTGAAAAAAGAAATTGAAGAGGATCTCAGAAAATGGAAAACAACCTTTGCACATGGATAGGAAGAATAAATATGAAAATGACCATTCTCCCAAAACTGTTATAGAGATTCAATGCAATCTCAGTAAAAATGCCATCAACATACCTCATATATCTCTAGGAATCAATCCTCAAATTCATCTGGAGCGAGAAAAGACCTAGAATAGCAAAGACAGTTCTAAGCAGCAAAGGCAAGGCAGGAGTCATAACAATCCCTGGCTCGAAGTTTTACTACAAAGCAACTATACTATAATCAACATGGTACTGGAATAAAAACACAGCTGAAGATCAGTGGAATAGTTTAGAAGACACAACCACAACTACAAACACACTCAACCACCTTATCTTTGATAAAGGAGCCAAACAGGTTCACTGGAAGAACGACAGTCTCTTTAATAAATGGTATTGGAAAAACTGGCTCTCCATATGCCAAAAACTAAAACTACACCCATGCCTATCACCATGTACTAAATTAAAATCTAAATGGATCAAAGGTCTGAGTGTTAAAACAGAAACACTAAATCTATTGGAAGGCAAATTGGGTAAAAACTTTGAAGACAAAGGGTTAGTTAGAGAATTCATGAACAGGACTCAAACCACATGACTAATACTTCCCAGAATCAATAACTGGGACCACCACTTATTAAAATGTTTCTGCATGTCAAAAGACATCTCCAGCATAGAAAAGAAAACCCACAAACTGGGAAAAAAATCTTAGTGAACTCTCCCTTAGACAAAGGAATTTTGTCTAAAACACATAAAGAATTTAAAATATCAGACCACCAAAATTCAAAGATACAGTCCAAAAATGGGCATCTGACATGAATACACAGTTCTCAGATGAAGAAATACAAATGGCAAATAAATATGTGAAAAAATGTTCATAATCATTTGTCATTAGAGAAATGCAAATTAAAACCACACTGAGATTTCATCTCACTCCTGAAAGAATGGCCAGGGTCAAGAGAATCAGCAACAACAAATGTTAGAGAGGCTGTGGGGA